TTGAGATATAACCCTACTGCAAGTAGAGGGGTATCTGTATTGCCCCTCTCCAAGTTAGTTTCACAGGTTGTAACTCCTGCAGATTAGGCTCTGGTAAAATAGTTTCTCCTGAGAGCAGGCCCTGTTCAGAAGTGCTCTGGCAGATTTCAAAAGGTTTACTTCTCCCCTCCCCTTGACAAAAGCATCAGGAAGCTTTTCCTTCAATATTTACTGTGAGAATCAGTTTCAGCTCTTGCAGGAGAAAAGCTATGAAAAGTGAAGTGTTTCACCCATGTCTGGGTCCCTCTGAATATTCATCTCTCAGACTGGTCCACATGGGGCCTCTGGTAACTCATTGGTTGCAGTTGTGGTGTTCTCCGTATTGAGTCTGTGAGGTTCCTCCTCCTGAGTTTCCATTATGAGTCTTGTCTCTGTACACTCCTCTCTCTGTCTCTCCAGAGGGGTGGGGGAGGGGCAGACATGGGGGGAAGGTGGTGTCAGCGGCTTGCTCTAGGCCTCATTTTTTTTCTCACAAAGTTAAGACTTGTTTGTTCAGCTTTTTACTGTTAGCACAGAACGGTGCCTTCTATGTTCTTTATAAACAGATAGGAAATGGAAGTCTGTCAAGGCTTTTTATTTTTATGTTATGCAGGGTTTCTTGTGTAACTTTATATGTAACAGGCTCTGAGAGAATTTTGCTGAATCTTGTGGCACATTCTTGGTAATAGGTTTAACTTAGAAACTCTCTAGCCATCAGGCACTACATTTTAAAATATTTTTATTAGCATATATTAGTTGTACAAAGGAGTTCCATTGTGATATTTTCATACATGCATACAATGTACCCTGATTGGAATTCATATATTAGCATATATTAGTTGTACAAGGGGGGGTACATATTTCCAAACATGCATACAATGTAGCCTGGTCCAGTTTCACTCCCCTCTATCACTGTTTCTCATCTTCTTCTGAAAACAGTTTTGACAAGTTTCATTGCTCCATTTTGAAACATGTATATAAAGTACTTCAACTGTATTCCCTCTCCTTCACTGTCTCTTTTCATCTTCCTTCCCCTTCCACTGGTACCACAACAGAAGCTGTCATTCACGTATACAGCACATAATGTCGTACACATACTACTTCAATGTATGTGAATTGTACAAGGGATTTTCACTGTGATTAATGCACACATACATATATTGTATTTTAATCAGACTTATGTAATTTCATTTGAACCTTGAAATCATTGACAACAAAGTGCTATTTTTTCCTCCCATTTTAAACAACAGGAAACAGGAACACAGAAGTCTAAGTATCCTCTCCAAAGGGCCACAGTGAGTGAGTGGTGGAATCAGAACTCAGAGTCCAAATGTGAGACTACCATCCTCCTTTTCTAGATGGCTCCTAAAAGTCTTGATAATAATTTGACCTGGTTCAATCATGAACAAGTCAAATAGCCCAACAGATTTTCTTCTCATGCTAGTTATTTTGGAAATTACCAAGGCGATATTCCAAACATCTGAAATCACTAAAAAGAAAATGACTTTGACTATGCATTCCCTGTGGGCCATTACAAGAGCTTGATTATGTTTTCATGTAGTTGTTTATGCAGAACTACATGGACACAATTCCAGACCCTAGCAAAGGCACTTGTGCTATGAGAGATGCTCCACAGTGGAGTCAATGAATCTACAGCTGGAAAAAAGACTTCTGTTTTTATAAATAGAAACAGGTAGGCTACTTTCTATGATAAATTAGAACCGAGTCTTATATAATAGCTTTAAGGGTACTGATATCTTAAGGCAACCTATGTGGTTCTTATTCCATTATATACACTGGAGGATCACCATCAATAACAGAGAAGCCAACACAAATAGCTACCCAAAGGGCTCTGACAGCTAGACCAAGGAATATGCACTCTGGTTTAGCAGCAAATGCTTTTTGGTTAGCATTCACAAACATGGCTTCTCACATTAAGCTGTTGTTCTCTTTCTGGAAACAAATCAGAGTTGAAACGTATAGAAAGCATGACAATTTCATTGGAATCCATGTTGATAGGTATCATTGGATACCACATCGATAGTACGGAAATTTGTGTCCACCCCAAAATCCATAAGCTTACATCCATATGCCCATTGTGATAGTATTAAAAAGGTTAAGACTCACCCTTATAAAAAAAAAGTCTCAGTTCTTTTTGCCATATGCAAACATAGCAAGAAGGAAATATGAAGCAGAGAGCAAGTCCCCACTAGAATATACATCTGCTGTTGTCTGATCTTGGTTTCCCTGTCCCCAGAACTGTGAGCAGTAAGTGTTTGTTACTGATTTGTTTACATAGTCTTGCCTTTATAAATCATCCAGTCTGTTATAGCAGCCTTGACAGACCAAGACAGCAGGTTTGGGTTACATGAGCAACAGGGCTAGATGTTTAAATATCAAAATTGAAACTTAATTCTATTCAATATATCTTCTTTCATTAATCCAGCAAAGAGTCCATGGTAATGATTTCACATCAGGATATTGGAATGGTTTATGCAATTATGTAAGTTGTCTGTCCCACTCTGTTCTCACATGATTAAGAAAGGAATTATATTCTGATGAAATTTGTACAACCAGGAAATATATCTCCCAAGGGTACAAACACTGTACAAACAATGCACAAATGTACAATTACTTCCTCCACTCAAAAACCTACTTTGATTTGGGGAGGGGAATAATAAAATGCTGAAGCAAGGACAGAGGATGACCCAATGCAGCAATGATACTCATAAGACACTATGTTGGAAATGAACTTTACATCTTGTGGGGGAGGAATGGGGGAGGAATGTAGGAGATAAACAAAGGAGTGGGTAACAATGTTTGACCAGAAATGTAGTCATTGCCTTACTCACGTAACTGTAACCCCTCTGTACAGTATCTTTGCAATAAAATAAAATTTAAAAAGAGAAAGCTAATAGAAGTTAAATAAAAAATTTAAACTATTGTCTTAAAAAGCTACTTTGCATTTTTTTTGGTCAGTTGTGGGGCCTGAACTCTGGGCCTGGATGCTGTCTCTCAGCTCTTCAGCTGAAGGCTAGTGCCACAGCGGCACTTCTGACTTTTTCTGCTTATGTGGTGCTGAAGACTCAAACCCAAGGCCTTGTGCATGCAAGGCAAGCGCTCTACCACTGAGTCACCTTCCCAGCCCATACTCTGAATTCTTTAATGTTATACTATAGCAGATTATTGATGCCTGAAAACAAAGTGGTAATCTCTTTTTAAATGGGTAGATGATAAATACTACCAGATTATGGACACATTTTTTTAGATATATTTTTGTCATAGCACTGATTTTTCCTTCAGTTATTCATTGAGCCTGGACATCTGCTCCAAGCGGGTGCCAGGATGGGTATCAGATGAGAGTTCATGATGGTAGTACTTTGTGATGAATATAACAAAGGGCAGAAGACAGCTTATACAGGACGCAGGCAGCAATGTTTTTGAAAGTGCTTATAGCAGGCAAGCACTATATTTTCCCAGCAGAACCAAATACAAGATGACTGAAATGTTGGCCTGATCTAGTTAGGGCATTTCTGACATTAGATTATTAAAAAAGTAGTTACATGTCAGATTCTGTATATACTAGGGATAGGATCAGAAACATGGGCAGACCAGTGCTGGACTATCTTGAAATGCAACCCAGTAAGGGTACAGTTGGTCAAAGATCCCAAAGGTCACTCTTCTTAACGTAAGCATTAAAGAAATGTATATTTCTCAGGCTGAAAAATGCAATAAGGAGTCTTGTTCTAGCAAAAGCAGCTTATTCAGGACAATTTCTGATAGGTAAGAAGTATTCTGGGGAAAGAATGATTTTGTCTAACTCAGAAAAATGTACTTTAGGAACTATTAGCTCTCTTCTTTTTTTATTCGTCCTATTACCCTTGCCTCTTCCTGATACATGGAGTAAGCTGGCAAAATCCTTTGTTCTTAGTGAAATGATCCCTCAGTCTTGATCCACAGACCAATATTCATCCTAGGATGAATGTTAACAGGCTGGAAGATCAGAGGGGACACGAGAGAGTAAGAGTATAGGACAAATAAAGAAGGCACATAGGATGATTTTTTCTACAGGTCACTTGGTCTGGGTATCCTCCCTCCCTGAGAGGTGGAGCATGAGTTCTAGGCCCCTTTGTCTGGACCTGCAGGGCTACTTCTTATGGTGTCATTGCCGTGTGTAACTTCAGGCAAATCATCTCAAGCAGATGACACAATATTGACATGACATGGTCAGAGCAGGGACCTTTTTCATTCATTATTTCAGCCTCACAGTGCAGCCACGTGTTTGTCTTACAGCAAACACTGACATGTCCATCACTGAGCAAAGTGGATGTGCATAATTATTAGGCCAAATACATTTTGGGAATAGCTAGTTGATTTCATTTTCCCTGATCTTACTGTAATTCCCATTATAAAGCAAACAATAAGAGAACACAGGGGGTTTTGTCTGCTCTGCTAGTCTTTTTCTCAAGAAATGATGAGAGCTAGAATGTACAACAGAAATTTTAAGGAATGATTAGGGGGAAATGATTTAAAGAAAAGCCATAAAACTTTTAATTTAAAATAGTCAATAAAGACAGGTACTAGTGGCTTATACTTGTAATCCTAGCTACTCAAGAAGTGTAGAGCTGAGTACTGTGGTTCAAAGCCAGCCTGGGCAGAAAAATCCGTAGGACTCTTATCTCTAACTAACCACCAAAAAGCTGGAAGTAGAGCTATGACTCAATTATGACAGCTTTGAGTGAAAAGATTAAATGATAGTGCCCAGACCCTGAGTTCAAACCCTACTTACTGGCACAAAGAAAAAGCCAAAAATAAAACAAAACAACAACAACAACAAAAACCAAGCCTGTTCTTGTGTTTATAAATGTAATAAAAGATTCCTTTTAAGAGATAGGGGAGAAATTACATATAAAAGGAAGTCATTTTTACCCTAGGTTGTTCCAAGATTTCTTATGTAGCAGCAATTGAAGTGGATTACTTACCTTATAGTTATTCATGATTTCAGTGAGCCAAGGTTTAACTGATTTCATTGTATCTTCCCTCAGGTAGTTTTCCACTGTAGCGCCATCATTGAAGGTCTTGTTTCCCACGTGGATGGCTCTTCTCACTTGTGGGAAAGACAGAAATTTCCCAAAGTACTCATGGTCCTCAGGTTCCTGGAAAGATAGTTGAAAATGTAATTTAGTGTCAGAATAGCATGTAGGGAAAATGTGTGGTTCTCTCATAACATATAACCCAATAAGCAAGCTACAGCATAACTGCTAAAATATCATTTTTAATATATTTGTAAATTATCTTTAAGTGGTTGTACAAAGGAGTTTCCATTCAACCTGTCAGTTTGAGTAGGATGCTTCCTGATCAGTGTCACCCATCTCAGTGTTCTTTCCCATCTCTCCAACCTCACCTATTCCCTCAGTTTACCTAGTTCAATTTCCACATATGTACATTCATTGAGTATTATGACTGCATTCACCTACACTTCCCTTCTCCATTCATCTTCTCCCTCCCCTTGACTTCATGCCCCAACAACAAATGTTCTAGCTTCCTGGTCTTCATTTTGTGAAACTGTTGTTCGAAGCATTTATGTTGGAATCCTTCTCCTGTGTAGATCATACATTAGTTAATATGCTTGTGTATGTATGCATATGACTCCATATATGTTTATAGTTTAGAACTAACTACCACATAGGAGAGAAAACTTGAAATTTTTGTTTGTTTGTTTTTTGGGGGGTCTGGTCATGGGGCCTGAACTCTGGAACTGGGCACTGCCCCTCAGCTCTTCAGCTCAAGGCTAGCGCTCTACCCCTTGAGCCACAGCACCACTTCCATCTATTTTTTTTCTGCTTATGTGGTGCTGAGGAATCAACCCCAGGGCCTCATGCATGCAAGGCAAGTGCTCTACCATTGAGCCACCTTCCCAGCCAGCAAACTTGAAATTTTAAAGATGTAGTTTTGAAATAGCTTAAGTGACAGCTTCTTACTAAAATGAATCTGGATAATTCAATCTATTTAGAGTCAAGAACCAATTTGTATTTTTTTTTCAGGACCTAATATTTTGTGAACTGTAACTATGGTTAGCATTGGAGGCAAATTTGGGGGAGGAACTGAGGTGAAGATTATGCAAATTAGTCATTCTTTCTTGGTAGCTTTGGGAATGGAAGGTCAAGTGCTTTCTAAGAGGCAGGGTGGGGGGAGTGTGGCCAATTAAAAGATGAGAATTTATTTTCCTTGTCCTCTTGTTCATTGAAAACACACAAAAATATCAGCTGACCATAGGTTAAAGGGGGATTATGTCAAATACACAAACAAATAACTTGTAAGTAAATACATTAAGGGATATGCAAGTATATGCAAATATCTTAAAAATAGTAGATTCAAGGGAGAGCTCAAATAGTGCTAATTACTTAGGCAAAATCCAAGTTCAACAAAATAAACACCAGGAAGGAAGTATTTGAAAAGGGTAGGGGTGGGGTCAAGAGGAAAGAAGTAGATGAATGGAGAAGAGAAGAGGGAAGAATGCAGTCAAGAATTCAGTGTATATCCCTACAAAATTAAGAAGAGCGAGGGAAGGGATGGGTGAGAATACTGAAAGGGGTGATGTTCCTCAAAATACATTGTATTTATAAATAATTAAAAAATAGATAAGCAGAAAAACAAACAACACAAATGATATTTCACGAATGACACAAACAAAAGTTATCTATGTTTATTTTTTAAGGAAGAGTAACACTCGGCTGGAATCTGGTGGCTCATGCCTGTAATCCTAGCTTCTTAGGAGGCTGAGATTTAAGGATTTTGGTTCAAACCACATCCAGCCAGGAAAGTCCAGGAGACTCTTACATCTAATTAAGCACCAAAGAGCCAGAAGTGAACCTGTGGCTCAAGTGTTTACAGCTAGCCTTGAGCAAAAAATCTTAAGGACAATATCCAGGCCCTGAGTTCAAGCCATAGGACTGGCAAAAACAAACTAACAAAAAAAATAACACACACATGCACATATATACACACATACACACACATACACAAAACCCAATGACACTGCAAATAAATTTGTAATAAACACTATACTAAAAGAAAAACAAGTAAATGGCTTTAAGGAAATTTCAAGTGATAAAAAGGCAAAATAACTGTTTCACTGTTTTGGGCTTCACCAGCAATATTTGCTGTGAATATATTGTTTTGTAGAGAAAAAATATTTCAATCACAAGTTTCATTTCTCTTTCCTACCATATGGTTTTTTTCCCACAGGGCTAGGAAATTCCACTTGAATTTGCATTGCATTCTATTTACAAATAGTTCATAAATAATGCTGAATGCATGGTTGTTAATATGCTCTAGACAAAGACTACATGAATCCAAATCCCGCTTTGGATCCTTCTTTCTTATTTGATTAATTCTACATAAAGGAGGCCAACTTTGACCTACTTTTATAAAAGAAGCTACTTGAATACTTTAATATTCCAGAGAGCTTGAAGTGAGGGCTGCACTAAAAGCTCTAAACATCTTAAGTTAAAAGTGAAACAAAGCAAATATTTTCATAAAGGCTTTGGCAGGTTTGATTATCCAGGCCATCTGAAGGGCAGAATGAAGAATGTGCCATTTTCAAGACACTCATAAACAGGCCTGTAGCCGGCAGCCTTCACAAAGTCTCCTCCATGGAATGAACTCTAGGTGGGGAAAAAACAAACTGCATTAATGAGAAATTTTTGCCAGGTGCTGGTAGCTCACACCTGTAAACCTAGCTACTACGGAGGCTGAGCTATGAGCATTGCATTTCAAAGCCAGTCCAGGCGAGAAAGGCTGTGAGTCTCTTCTTTCCAAATAACCAGAAAAAAGCTGAAAGTGGATATTTGGCTCAAGGAGTAAGCACCAGTCTTGAGCAAAAGACAAGCTAAGTGTGGCCCTGAGCTCAAGTTCCAGTACTAGAATTTACACACACACACACACACACACACACACAGAAACTTTTGACTCATCGGGGACATTATACATTCTCAATGGTGGGATTATAACATATACAATGTTGGTGGGAAACTAATCCCATGAATTAGAAGCCTAAATCATTCAATAAGCTTAGAAATACTTATCTAGTAGTCAGCTATAATATATTCCAGATAAGAAGATGTTTAGTTTTGTCAGAAATTTGAAGCAAATGTGATTATGGTTACTAAAATTTGTCCTTACCGTGCACTGTAAAAGGTTATAGTAAGTAGCACATCCTGTAGCATTCTGAAAGAAAGATGGGTCACTTGTCAAGTCTCCATCTAGCAGTTTATCCAGTATCTAGATCAACAGAGAGGAAGAGAAAGAAGAATATCATTGGAGTGATAAGCATGCACAGGAGTTAGTTACTTCATTTAATCAATAATTTTTACATCTTTATCATTTCATAAAGTCAGCATTTCCTGCACAGCTTCTTTGTGCCAGGAATTAGATAAACCTAAAAGACATACTAAAGTCCTCCCTCATGGAGCTTATATCCTAGGGGAGATAATAAGCAAGTATTACTCTATAAATTAGAATGACAACCATGTAGTATGTTAGAGAATTATAAAGAGGGCAGAAAACTAGTAGAAAATGTCAGCAGTAGGTGTAACTGTGACAATAATGACAGAGAGTCTCACTGAGAAGATGACATTTGGAAGGAAGAAAGGAAGGAAGGAAGGGAGGGAGGGAGGGAGGGAGGGAGGGAGGGAGGGAGGGAGGGAAGGAAATCATTCAGATGAGTGAGGAAAACATTCCAGGTAGAAGAAACAGCTGCTTTGACTGTGTCAGTGAGACCATGGGAAGGGTTTCTTAGCATGGGTCATGGGCCATGAAGAGAGAGAGAAACCAGAGGATGCAGGCATAGATGGAAGTCCTTAGAGCTACTGGGAGATATTTACGGACTGAAGACATAAAAAATCTTGGTCATCAGGAGGCCAGGAGTGGTCAGCACAGCTGGGTGCTTTCCTTTATCTCTGTGCAGCTACAACAGGGACTGTCCTGTAGTGGAAGAGGAGTGGTTTAGCCAGGGTTGTGGCTTAGCCAAAAGAGTTAAAGGAAAGGCTAAGGGACTTTAGGGACTGGAAACACATCATTGTGGATTCAAATGAAGAAGGGAAGACCAAAGAGTGTGATCCCATAAAGAGGTAGTATTATCTATGGGTAAGGAGACAGTGGAAAGGGGTTCAGGATGCCAGAGTTTATAATAGCACATGTGAGGGACAGGAGCTTGTGGACTGGTTGATAGGGATTTTTTTTGTAATGGGAATGAGAAACTAGGATGAGGTGTAAAGCAAGATCACTTTTTTTTTTAAAGGAGTCAAACAAACTAAAGGATCAATTATGTAAGCAACCATTCAATCAGATACTGCTATCATGAGGAATTGTGAGAGGAGTGACAGGAGACTGGAGCTACAGCAGTAAGAGAATGTTAACAGTGAGCCAGAGGTGGTAGATCATCATCCTAGAAGTGGCGAGGCTCCATCTGAGCCAGTGCTATAGCAGAAGTCACCATCTATGACCTGAAACAGCAAAAAGACATGAGTCTATGAGTCAGGAGTTACCGAAAGAGAGTGCACAGCCCCCATCTAGGAGGATCTGAGTGGTCACATCAACCCCAAGAAGCCAGAATTGGATAAATCAAAGAAGAGGATGGATCAGCCACAGCTGATGATATGAAGGTGCAAAGGGGTCTTATAAAAAAAGATTTTAAAAAGTCAATGCAGCATAATTTAAAAGTCATCTCTTAAGTATGAGTTTAGGTTCTTGCAAGATGTTCTTGGTATCCAAATTTTAAGTGAGGAAATTAAGACACACAGAAGTCACTCGCCTAGGAACACCTCACATAAACACCTCACATAAACTGGCAGAGGCAGGATGCAAGGCCAGGCCCCGACTCTTCATCTGGCTCCTCACCGCACAGGTGCTACCTTGTCAACAGTTAGACTTCCCTATTTCCTGGTCACATTCTGTTCAACATGAGTCTTGACTGAGTGGTAAGAAGGAAGGGAACCAGACAGACCTCTGTTAGTCAAGCTGTGCATACCCTGTCAGAGGGCAGTGTCATTCAATGGTGACATCTGTTTGCCAAGCCCTAAGCCCTCAGGATTGCTGTCAACCCCGAAAAGTTGTCTTTTCTAATCTATCTACTCAGCGTGGGTACAGACTGTGAGGTCTATAAGAATGAAAAATCAACCTCTAAGAATGGATTTGCTTTTGAAGTCAAAAACGTCATTTGTTGTCAAACAAATAAGGCAGATAGTTCAGTCACCATCACAGAAATCCAACTTCTCATTAAAACTATTTTACAAAGAAATTTCTGTGATCCAGAATACCATCACTAGAAGGGAGATGAGACAGAAAAAGAGATCAGCCATTTTGCTGATCTCTATAATGTCCAGGACCAGGACTTTTACAGAATACCTGAAAAATTACTGTTGGAGAAACACTACATAGGAATGGGGGGAAGGGGTTCTACCCTTTGCCTACCACAATCTATGTATGGGTCCTTTGCATGTCTCCAGTGATTATCAGCTCTGGGGGGTGGGGACAGGAAAGGGTGATGAGGCCCTCTATCTCTGAGCTAGGGAATTACCCTGGCTCTTTTGTCAATCCCATCATTTTATGTATTTGTTTGTTTATTTATTTATTTATTTGCCTGTCCTGGGACTTGAACTCAGGGCCTAAGTAGTGTCCCTAAGCTTCTTTTGCTCAAAGCTAGCACTCTACCACTTGAGCCACAGCACCATTTCTGGCATTTCCTGTTTCTGTGGTGCTGAGGAATCAAACCCATGGCTTCATGCATGCTAGGCAATCACTCTACACTAAGTCTATTCCCAGCCCCAACTACATCGTTTTAAAGGACCAGAGAATCAAATGGATGAATCCATTAGGCTTGAGATTTTGACATTTGTATCCTCTTGGATTTCATGATTTCTTGGGGTTTCCCTATAGTCAGTATTCTCTATAGTAAGTATTGTTTTGTCTGTTTCCCTTGTGAAAATGAAAGCTTTTACATTTCCTTAATCTATTATTCAAGATACTGGGTCAATAGGAAAAAAGATATCCTGTGTTCTTATCTGAATATATATGGTCTGAGAAAGACTCCATTTAACCCAAATCATAGCTCCATTATCTACAAAGCACAAAATAGCTGAGCTTTTCCACAACTTCACAAATCCTGTGGGTACTTAGGCTGTGATAGCATATACCAGACATCTCTCTGCTTTCTTCATATCTTCATGTCTCTCCAATTTTTTTGACATTTAGTAGCCGTGTGCTTCTTTAAACACACACACACACACACACACACACACACACACACACAAAATGTCTCATTTTCAAATTTGTGCCACACCATATAGAATTTTCTATTAATTCTAAATTTTCATGATTTCTTACTTCCCCTTTCCTGACTATCCTCACAGACAACCTAAAACCCGTCTTGAAAATACAATCACTGCTAGTTAAAGCATGATTGTCTACGGCTCCAGTAAAAACCCTTTTCCTGCATAGAATTGCCAAGAAATTCTGAATCACACTCTGCAGCCACATCTGCTTTCCTGACACAGAAAGAAGAGCCTGTTAGCCTCCTGCTGGGTGGCTGAGACTTCCCTCTCTCAATTTACTTGTACAAATCCCGGCTATCAAAATCCTCAGAAGGGTGGTCACTGCTGTGGGGGATTTCAGGCAGTATCCTGGCACCTTCTGGGTAAAATGAAGGACACCATTAAGTTACCCCCTACATCCTCAAATGTATATCCCCCTGTTTTGATCTGAACTGCCTTATCTGCAGGGTGCAAAAGGCCATTACCTACAAGCCCCTGCCTTAATGACTGTAATGACTTTAGCTGCTCACATACATGCTATGTGTATGTACAGGTTCAGTCACAGCCAGAGGTCCTCCAGATCCAGCCAATGCTCCATTTACCAGTGTTTCAACAGGATGACTTTACTGTAAATAAATATAGCAAATACAACCAAAAGCCCCAAAGGAAGATTGCTTGCACATGGCCTTTGCTTAGAAAATTAAAAATTAAAAAAGAAAGCACAACCAGAAACACGCCACTTCCTATATCATAGCATTTAATACACTCTTACATTTTAAGTAAGAAAAAAAGAAAGAAGAAAGTTTAAAAAACAAGATTATTAACTATATTATCATGTCCTCAAGTTTTCTTTTAAGGGAGCATTGTAATGATACTGACAAATACCAATGGTTCTCCGTAAAAGTTTCAAGTTATTACTCTTTCTAGTCTTTGTTCCTGACCCAGAGGAACATGTGACATATGTTGCCCACTCTGGCCCTTCTGCAGCCAAAGCCCTGTTTGTGGATATGACTCTGCTGTGTGGTTTTAGAGCATCTGTGGAAGCTTATGCATCTACTTCCCAGGTTGCCTTTCATCTGATTTCCATATGATAGACTATGCCTTCAGATCCTACACAGAATTTAAAGAAATCAGGACAGTTAATGAAAGACACAATCAGATAAACCCTCCAAAATGATCTTGTGTTTAAAATAAAGCCAAAGTAAATTCAAAGAAACACAGCCAGCGGTTTTCTTCATTAGGCACCCACTCATCTTGCCCCTGATCTTAGACAGCAGAAGAGATATCACCTCTCCCACACAGAAATGCCTGAGCACCATGGTGCTTCAATGGGCCCCTCCTCTACTTCAGATGGTTTTAATTGCTCAAGGGCAACACAGGGCCCCAGGACTCACTTCAAAGGCATTTTGCCACTTCTTCTCCTTGATGTATTTTATGCACTCATCGCACCGCTGCTGGAAGTACTGCTTCTGCTTTTCATCCAGTAAGCCAATTTGGTACAGGAACTCTGCATAGCCCCCTATAATCTGAGACAAAAAGAGACACATATGCCAGAGAGAGAAGGAAAGAGAGAAAGAGGGTCAGGAAACCCACTGGCTTCACAATGCAATATTTAGAAACCGTCAGTGTTGTACTGAAATGAGTCAAGGAGGCCAATTATACATATACTCCCCACCTCTTACACAAACACTCAAACACAACACAAACACACAAGGTCACACAACATAATGAACATATGTGCAACAGGGCATAACAAAATGTATACTTTTCCTGACAGCCAACAAACGCTGACATAGTAAGCCAACAGGTTGAAATGTTTGGTAAAAATTAAATATTTTAAGTCATAAAGTCAAATTGTTATTGCCCTTTATAAGTCAGGCCTCTCAGATAAGAGATAGGAGTCATCTCATTAACAGTAATTGAATTCTTTCAAGGGGCAAACAGGAAAGAAAGTTAAGATACCTACCGACTCAGGATCAGAATACGCATCGCCAAGAGCAATTCCTTTCAGGTTGATCTTGAGTTTCTTCTCAGAGTTTCTGGTGTGAATATAGTGTGCAATGGCTGGCACGTATTTCCCTGCATAGGACTGACAAGGACAGACACTGAAATGAGGCTCACATTATGCTTGCATAATGCACAAGCTCATCAAAATCATCTGGTGCTGGTGGCTCCTGCCTGTAACTCAGGAGGCTAAGATTCTCAGTTCAAAACAGCTAAGGTAGACAAATCTGATAGACTCTTATCTCCAATCAACCAGCAAAAAGCCAGAAGATGAGGTGTGGCTCAAATGGTAGAGAGCTGGCCTTTCGAAGTAAAAGCTAAGCAAAAGCATCAGGCCTTGAGTTCAAACCCCAGTAACAGCTCATGCACGCGTGCGCGCATGCGCGCGCGCACACGCACACAATATCACAATAAAGTAGTAGTAATTTTACATGAGGTGTATTGTTTATTTCTTTACCTCACATTATTATAAGTTCCACAATAATGAAAAACTTCCCTCACTCTCCTTCTGTTTATTCCAAAAAGCACCTAATGAAATGCAAGTCAAAGGCTAAATGGGAAAACAAACAAACAAAAACCATGTAAGCCTGACTATGTAAGCCTGTGGCTCATGCCTGTAATCCCAGCTATTCACAAGGCTGAGATCTGAGGATCACAATTGAAAGTCAGACTGGGCAGAAAAGTCTGAGACTGTTATATCCAATTATTCACCAAAAAGCTAGAAGTGGAGCCGTGGCTCCAATAGTGGAATACTAGCTGTGAGCAAAAATTCTTAGGGACAGTGACCAGGCCCAGAATTCAAGCCCCAGGACCAGCACAAAAATAACAAAGAAACAACCAAAAATACCAGGTAGTATCTGAACATTCTAATTTCCTTCCAAAATGAAAATGTGGACCACTCAAGAAAATCCTGCCATTGGTTGAGCTTTTATTACCAGACAGCTCCATTCCACACTATAGCTTTAATAAATGAATGGAAAATTTTCAACTCTATAAACTTAAGATTTCAAATGTAGAAAATTTGAAACCAGCATACATTAAAGGAATGGAGAAGAAAAGGGCAATAACATGTATTGGCCACTAAAATTTTCATTTGAACTTAACCTCTATTTCCAATCTTTTCAGAATAAGGTTCTTTCCCACCCCAACAAGTATGGTCACGTCTACTTTTAGAGTCTGTTGGAAAAGTGCTACTATTGGCTCAATAGTACTTTTAAAACATTTTTTCAAAAACATTAGTATTTTTTGCATTGTTTTCCATCAAAAGTTGCCTTCTTGCCACCTCGACTTGAATAACTAACATTAAATATCATATGCTTAAAATTCAGCTCTCAATCCCAAGCTTTCCCACAGTCTCCCTTGTAATATATCTTAGCTCTTCTGAGTGCTCAGGCCAAAATTCTTGTTGCTATGTTTATGATTCTTTTCTTTTGCATGCTACAAAAGTCTACCAGCCAAGCTTTCCAACAATATGTATTTCATCAAAATGTGCCCAGAATTCAGTCTTCCCTCATACTTGGTCTAGGTCACTACAGCATCATCTCCTGCCTAGATTACCACACTGGGCCCCCTTTGCTATACTTAAACACATCCAGCCTATTGTCGAATGAGCGATGGTGCTAAAACATAGAGCTGCCCATCCACCTCCCAGTAAAAGCACAGAGCTTTATCTGAGGCACAAAGGCCGATATGATCTGTTTCCTCCACTAACCTCACTCCCTGATACTGTTTTATTCACAGCCCCACTGGGTTCCAAAATGCACACATGTTCTCAATTCACACATGTTCCCAATAGACTAAAAGCTTCCTATAAATACTAGTGAGGGAATGGACCCTTCACAACATCTCCAAGGCTCTCTACAGGTCTGTGGTTCAAAAGCTAGGGATCCCTGAGAACTCTCATTTTCTTTTCCTTTCTTTTCTAAAATACCTTTCAGTTGTAAAAATACTGTACAGAGGGGTTACAGTTACATGAGCAAGGTAATGAGTACATTTCCTATCTAGCATTGTTGCCTCCTCCTTTGTTTTTCCCCTACCATCCCTTCCCTCCCACCTCTACAACTACATTCCTCCCTGTTCCCCCATGCCCCCACCCCCACCCTGCCTAAGTTGTAAAGTTCCTTTTTCAACATAGTGTCTTGTACATCTCATTGTTACAATGGGTCAAACTGTAAGCATTTTGTTTTTTCCCTTCCCCTCCCTAAATTAGAGAAGTGTATATACAAGATGCAGGGCACCGACATCAAATACAGTGACACCAGGGGTTTTACCATGGTGGGCGGAACATGCAAAGAAATAAAAAAGTCACATAGTACATTATAAACACGTTAGAAACAATAGCAAGAAAGAAAAAAACCACTTGTGTACATATCTTGGGGTTCATTTCATTTAACTTCATCTTATCTGGTCATATGTACATAGCTTTTGACCTTTCCTATTTGTCTCAGACATATACTAGTTATTGCAAATAAGGGAAACCATGGAACCTATGTTTCTTTGGGCCTGGCTTACTTCACTTAATGTAATTTTTTCCAAGTTTTTCCATTTCCTAACAAATGGGGCAATGTCTTTCTTTCTGATGGAGGAATAAAATTCCATTGTGTATATATACCACATTTTCTTGATCCATTCATCTACTGAGGGGGAGAACTCTCATTTTCTTCACCCCATAATCATATGCTAGAGATACTGCCTCTGTTCCCATTTCAAGATAGGAGGTCACAGCTAGAGCTAAAATTCATTCTGGGTCTGACTTACTCCAAACTCTGGACTCAGAGAAGTTAAGAAATAGAGCCAGAATTGTACCTAGTTTCACTTAAATTCTAAATTGTTTTCAAGTTAATAATAAAGAAATATAATTTATATAATTTATATAGAATCTCCTCATTGAGGTAGCCTTTTTGTATAATAATAATTTTAGGAAAAGTATTGAATCAGAGTACTTTATCCATTTATACTCTGAAGTTCATTTAAGCTTCTATATGGTAATATAAAATGTGTTTATATGTCTGAAAATTAGTTTGTTATATAACTATGCTATTTTCTTGTTAGTGGAAATAGTAAGTATCATCAATTAAAATTTCTGGAAGAGGATAAAGCACATTTTCTTGAGGAATCATTTCACTGGTAAAGATGCATTATATAATCTTTAGGTCAACAACTGCTTATTGAAGAATTCTTCTGTTAATGGCACAATGCTAGACACCAAGGAGACACAAAAATTAGTGATATACAAAACTTGCACTTAGAATGCTCACAGTTGCACTGGGCACCAGTGGCTCACATCTGTAATCTTAGCTACTCAGGAGCCTGAGATCTGAGGATCGGGGTTTTTCAAAGCCAGCCTAGCCAGGGAAGTCAATGAGTCTCTTACCTCCAATTTTCTAGTAAGAAAAACAGAAGTGGTAGAGCTCTAGCTTTCAACAAAAGAGCTCAGGCCCTGAGTTCAAGCCCCATGACTGACAATGAAAGAAAGAGAGAGAGAAAGAGAGAAATAGAGACATAGAAAGCTCACAATTGCTTCTGAAAGCACAATTTGAAAACCTTGACTCGATTATGAGAGAGCAAGGTGAACCATTATGAATTATTATTTCCATTATGTGTACACTTCTCAGCAGAAAACAGAAACATTAAAACACACTTGATATATGAATGGCTTATATCGTATTACTGCTAAATATTGCTTTCTCTCTGGTAATCAGCATAAATGCTAAGAAGTCTATCTTCTTCCAGTGATATTATCTCAGGTTGTCTTCTTGTTTGAGTTGCTTCTCAAATTGAAAGGCATGTTCTTTAAATTAAATATAGGTATATATATATATGTGTGTGTGTGCGTGTGTGTGTGTGTGTGTGTGTGTGTGTGTGTGTCTGTCTGTCTGTCTGTCTGTCTGTTTGTCTATCTGTCTGTCTATCTGTCTGTCTATCTGTCTGTGTATAGTGATGACAAGTTTGGCCTAAAATGCCCACATTGTTAAGGTGCCATGCTTCTGTGACCATCATAGATCTAGAATACAATCAGAAAAGGAATTATGAAGGATTCTGTATTTTTAATGACCATTCAAGCTAAACTTTTTAACATACTTTACTTTGAACTCCTTTTCAATTAACACCATTTTCCTGTATCATACAGTGATGAACACAAGGTCCAGTGCCTTTCATTCATGTGCTCAGCTGCAGTGCTGTCCAGGCTTGATTGCTTTCATAGCTCTCATTGCTCCAGTCCCATCAAATTTCAGCCAATCAGCCTGGAATGCACTGTGGGACCCAAACTTTTATTTATCTAGCTCATGCTTGCTAAGTTGACCACTTGTGAAAAATAGAATAGTGGGGTGAGTATTCCTACAATCACTTCCAAACCCAGACTGTTCAATACTCAGTTCACATCTGCCAACTAACGATGATGTTTATCTACATTTTTGTCTTCTAATGACTACCACACGCTTCCTTGCTTTGTATCATTGTGCCAAAACCTTCATTGCTTTTTCCGTTAACCATTCCATTCTTGGGAGCCTCCGGATGTCACCTAGTAGACAACTGTCAGATTATTTTATGTGAAACAGATAATGAAACACTGCAATGAAATGTCAGTGATTTTTATCCTCCTTGTTGAGATATATTTATCTTCATTTGCAAGACCAGCCATATTCTTCTCAAATCATTTGTTTCTCAGTTTAACAATTGTGACTATCACAAGCACTTCAAAAGACAATCAGATAATAAATCAAAGATATTTTGTTGTACCTAGTTTTCTCCTTCGTCTATTTTAAATAGAATAGAATTCCGTATTTTCAGGGAAGCATTAGATATACCTGATTTATGGATTACAAAAAGACTCTGTGATTACTAAGGTTTATCATTGTCGTCCTGTACTCTTTCTTAACCCTTTTCCCTTTTGTTTTGAATTCTGCCCTTCAAAATAACAACCTCATCCGCAACCAGAGCTCTCCGTCCTGTGGCGCCTCTGACCTGCCCACGCCGTTCACCAATGTGGGCAGCAGCTGGCCCTGAAGTCTCTGAATTAACATTAACTCTTAACATCAGGTCAGAGTGTGGTCTCTAAAGAGCTCAGAGTAACATCAAAGCAAT